GCTGGGGGACACCCCGTTTTGCCCCTCGGCGACCCCGGGGCTGGGGGACGCCCCATCCTGCCCCTTGGTGACCCCGAAGCTGGGGGGCGCACCCCGCCCCGCCCCTCGGCGACCCCGGGGCTGGGGGGACACCCCGTCCTGCCGCTTAGTGACCCCGGGGCTCGGGGACACCCCGTCCTGCCCCTCGGTGACCCCGGGGCTGGGGGACACCCCGTCCTGCCCCTCGGCGACCCCGGGGCTGGGGGACACCCCGTCCTGCCCGTCGGTGACCCCGGGACTCAGGGATACCCCGTCCTACCCCTCGGCGACCCCGGGGCTGGGGGGACACCCCGTCCTGCCGCTTAGTGACCCCGGGGCTCGGGGACACCCCATCCTGCCCCTCGGTGACCCCGGGGCTCGGGGACACCCCATCCTGCCCCTCGGTGACCCCGGGGCTCGGGGACACCCCATCCTGCCCCTCGGTGACCCCGGGGCTCAGGACACCCCGCCCCGCCCCCCCGGGGGTCCCCAGGACTGAAGGGAGGGGACATCCCGCCCTCCCCCTCGGTGACCCCGGGGGGATGCGAGCAGCGGGGCGGCCCACGAGAGCGCCGTGGCCTCCGAACTGTTAGTGAGGCCCGAGGTCCAGGTCAGCATCCCCGGAGCGCCCTGGGGCGTCACTCCGCGGGGCCTCGCCCCTCGCCCCCCACAACCGCCTCCCGGGGCCAGCACCTTGGGGCGCCTGCCGGTTCGGGGTGACGCCGCCTCTGGCCCCGGAAAGTTCCCAGCGTAGTCCTGCTGCTCAGGGATGGCGCTGGGAATGGGTGCGTTTGGGCGCTTTGACCGAGAACCCCAGGTGCCCGAGGGCTGTAGTTTGGGTGCTGCTGACCCACGGGACTTGGTGGCACACACACGCCCCGCTGCGTGGGGCTCCTTGCAGGAGGCATCACTGCCCCAATTCCAGGTAGAAAAACTACGACCTATTAAGGGTATGTCACTGTCCGTGAGAAAGTCAGCGTTATCTGGAAGAGGGTCCTATTTTCTCTCTCTTTTTTAAAGATTTTATTTATTTATTCATGAGAGACAGAGAGAGAGGCAGAGACACAGGCAGAGGGAGAAGCAGGCTCCCTGCGGGGAGCCGGAAGGGGACTCCGTCCCAGGACCCCGGGATCTGAGCAGAAGGCGGAGGCTCACTGAGCCCCCCAGGCCTCCTGGGTCCTATTCTCTTAAAACCAAACCAGAACTGGAAAATAATTTGAGGAACATGGTTGGATTTTTTTTTTTCTCCCTAATTTGAGATCCTGGCTCACCCTGATCGTCTCAGAAATGGGGAATGATTTAGAGGGGGGAAAAACGGTCATCAGATTATTTTAATTCAATAAACCAAAATGAAGAGAACCCATTCAATCAACTGTTATATTTAAATAGCCCCCCCCCACACACACACACAGACACTTAAATTCCTCAAAAGTAGCATAGGCTAGCAATTTTACCTTTCATTGATATCAATGTGGCTTAAAAGAAAAGTAGATCCGTAAAGGATCTTACTGAAATGTCCTCCTAAAAGCACATCTAAAGGTAACATTGCAGACATGGGACAAAAGTTTTGTTTATTCACTTTTCCTGAGCTTTGCTAATGCAACTGAGGCATGGTTTTTGCTTACTCAAGGAGTCCAGGATTAAGCAAATACTTTGTCAAAAAGCAATAATAGATCTTTCATAATGGAAGAGAAAGGAAGACAGCTGACCCTTCTCATCTGATCTGGGCCGATGATGGCTTCAGGTAGGCCAAGCGCTTTGTCCCTGCAGTTCCAACAAATAAATGGAAAGTTCCGGTAGAAAGGGGCTAGACATGGATGCTGTCATTCGTGTAAGCATGAATCTTTTGAAGACAGAGGTTCATTCTGGGAATCAGGCTGCCGTTTATGAAGGAGTCGGATGTGCTTGTCAAGATTCTTGTAATCGTATGCGTTGGACAAGCACATTTTATTGAGCTGTAATGCTCGCCGGAAGACAGAAGTCCCACACTAGCAACTGGAAACCCAGCCCTGGGTGCATCACAGCCAAAGGCATGACGAGCAGCATGATTAAGAATATGGATTCTGGAGCGTGGCTGCCTGCCCTGCCAATTAGTGACCCTCTAATCTTAGGTAGGTGCCTTAAGCTCCCCATGCCTCATTTTTCTCATCTGTAAAAGCAGGGATAAAATTAGGGTTGTGAAAATTTAACAAGAGCATGTATAGAATGTTGAGCAGGGTGCTTGACCCCGTCTTAGGAAGTTGTTCTTCATCTGTCCAGGCCGCTATAACAAACTACCATGAACTGGATGGCTTATAAACAGCAGGTATTTACTTGTCACCGTTCTGAATGCTGGAAGTCTGAAAATAGGGTGCCAGCGTGGTTGGGTTCTGATGCGGGCCCTCTTCCGGTGGCAGACTGGGTCCTCAGGAGGGCGAAGCAGAAGGGAGCTCTCCTGGATCTCTTTTATTAGGGCATTAATCCCTAGCTGAGCGCTCCACCCTCATGACCTCAGCACCTCCCAAAGGCCCCACCTCCAAATGCCATCAGGACGGGTTAAGATTTCAGCCCATAAATTTACGGGGAGGGACACAGAAATTTAGTCTATAGCACAAGTGGTCAGCTTTTTGTTCGTGGGAGAGCCAGTTCCTCACTTCTACAAGGTTCTGAAGATGGCTAAGTGCCTCACCACCTAAGGCTTGTTATACAACATCATTTGGACTTGTTACCCGCTTTCTTTGTAGGCTGTGTTTCAGGGAGCTGTTTTATATTCCCGAATCATGAAGTGCATTTGGTTTTCTGAATCAGAGTATCTGCTCCTAATCGGAATCGGATCAGCTACAGCCACAGGCGTTGAGGGCTACCGGGCTTGGGGTCACATTTGTCCTTGAACACCAATCTCACCTAAATTTGTTATTTAGCTCCTTGAGGGTTGCTTTGCCTTATTTTTCTTTCATTCATCCTCCTGCTAGTGAAATGGTCTTGCTGATCCCTTTTAAGGATGTTGCCTGAAGAAAATGAGACGTGTATTTCTGCAAAAAAAGATCTGATCCATTGTGTATTACTGTGTTTGCAAAGGGTATTTGAAAGATGTATCTATTTTTAGAGAGAGAGAGAGAGAGAGAGAGGTGCAGGGGAGGGGCAGAGAGACGAGGGAGAGAATCTCAAGGAGGCCGCAGGCCTTGCGTGGAGCTGCATGTGGGGCTCCATCCCACGGCCCTGAGATCATGACCTGAGCCAAAACCAAGAGTCGGACACTTAACTGACCGGGCCACCCAGGTGCCCCTACAGAGGGTATTTTAGAACTTTTTACTAAAATAGAACATGCCTACAGAAAACAGAATAAACCTGTACTCCTAAGTGTACAGCTGAATGAGTTCTCGCAAAGTGAACGTATCCACGCATCTAGCACCTGGATGGAGAAACAGAACATAATCGGCCTCCAGGAGCCCCCTGTGTCCCCGCCCCAGAAACTACATCCCCAAGCGCAGCCACTCTCCCCAAGGAGTATTGTCAAGCTGAGCCATTTTCACAGGTTTTGTGATGACCGAGCATGTGCTGTAACCCCGGAGAGGTGACATTAGCTGTTATCCCGCCTGGCCCCAGGGGCCCCTGTGTTTTGATAGGAAGGCAGGGTTGGGAGGGTCAGGGTGAATTGAGAACTCAATAGCACAGTTAAATGAGAAGCAAGTTCCATATGTTCTAGAAAGGGAGAGAAGGCAGAAACATCCCAGGGGCAGATAATAAAGCCTGCGGTTGGTGACTTGTTCATAGTTAAAGAGAGATGTCCAAGTCAGAGACAGTGTTGGCATTTTGAATTGGCACGTGGTTCTACTGAATAGCATCTTCTCCGGGGGGAGGGAAGGCAGTGGTTTTCCCGAGAGTTCTGTTTTGTTTTTGAGGAGCCTGTGTGATGCACACACGCACAGTATGAGGAGGAAGCAGCCTCCGTCCCCCAATGGTTTGTGTGATGGTTGGAGGGAGAATTTAAAAAGTCAGTAGCTGAGGAGAGGCCCCCAGAGAAGGAGGGCTTAGCTGAGTCTTCACAGATTGGTAGATCTCCGAGAAGGAGAAGGAGCTCGTGGGTGGAAGGAACAGCCGAAACATCCCCGAGGACGTGGGGACACCCAGGCCGTCTTCTGGGAGACGGCCCAGACCTCAGCGTGCCCAGGCTTCCGCTAGATGTAGCTAGAAAGGGCTTTGCGTGGAAGCCGTAGAGCGCAGTGGACACAGGTGCAGGTTTCAGGGGCGCACAGGCCCGAGGCTGGGTTTGAATTCTGGCTTTGTCACTGACCTTTTGGACTCTGGCAAATTCCTGGGCCTCCATCAGCCGCAGCAGCCGTCAGAACTTACTGACAGTATTGTCATGAGAATGAAGTCCCAGGACAGGATACACTTCAAGGCACTTAGCACCATACGCAGGCCTAGGTGAGACACCCGCCACCTACCGCTCAGGTCAACTCTGCTCTATTTATTTATTTGTTTGATTGTTTATGTATTTACTTAACAAAATATGTTATTTATTTCAGAGAGAGCATGAGAAGCAGACTCCCCCCTGAGCAGGGAGCCCAATGTGGGGCTCGATCCCAGGTCCCCAGGATCCTGACCTGAGCTGAAGGCAGACATTTAACTGACTGAGCCAACCGGGCGCCCCTGTCAAACTTTTTCATAAAATGCCAGGTAGTTTTCAGCCCATATGGTCTCTTTGCAACTACTCAGTGCTGCCCTTGTGGCTGAGAAGGAAGCACAGAGAATCCATCCGTGTAGGAGGGCAGCTGTGCTCCAATAAACCTTTATTTACAAATGCAGGCTGTTTTGTGGGCCCTACTTGGGATATGTGCCTGCGTGCATGCTAAAAAGTCCTCATCAGGGATCCCTGGGTGGCTCAGGGGTTTAGCACCTGCCTTCAGCCCAGGGTGTGATCCTGGAGTCCCGGGATCGAGTCCCACGTCGGGCTCCCTGCATGGAGCCTGCTTCTCCCTCTGCCTGTGTCTCTGCCCCCCCCCCGCCCCTCTCATGAATAAATAAATAAAATCTTAAAAAAAAAAAGTCCTCATCAGGGTTGGGGGTTGCCTTCAGAGAAATTGGTGTGCCCGGTCCTGTAGTTAATCAAGTCTCTATTGCAGCTGTGATTTTGTGTGTTATCTCAGGCTTGTGGAATGAATATGGACATTGGTAAATCCCATCACGTGTCCATGTGCTTAGTGTTTCAAAAATATTTACTGAATGCCCCGTCCTGCCCCCCCTCCCCCGCCACCGTACGTCCATATGTCCCTGCTGTCCTAGGCCCTAGCAGGGGAGTAGCAAGCAAGGCAGATCAGATCCCTGCCCTCACGGAGCAGATATTTCAGGGAGAGAGACAAGTGATGGATTAGTGACAAGCCAGTACAAAGATGATTTCAGATCACGATTAGTGTTACGGAGGCACGAGACAGGATACTGTGACAGACCTTGGCAGAGGAGTGTGCTGTATAGAGGAGGTGACCAGAGAAGACTGGCCTCAGGAGGCGATGCTGCCTCCAGTAAGGGACACTGGCCAGGCACCGAGCAGCGGTCTCAGTCGGGGTCTCTCGGCGGGGATCTGCTCACCCTGGCGAAGGAGCTGCAGCTGTGAGGTTCACCTAGCTTGTCGGGGCGGCTGAAGAGGCTGGCGAGGGTGGTGGGCTCCCCCTGGCCCCGTGTCCCCATCCCCCCCCAGAAAGGTTAGGTCAGCCAGCTCATTAAAAATTAGCTAGGGCAGCTGATTTCTAGAGAGGTCCTTGTATTTATATATATGTGGGAAATATAATGACCATTGGGTTTCAATCAATAGTGTTGTGCTCTCTGGCTTCATGGAAAAACTCTTAGGAATCTAAAAGTCTTAAGAGTTCTGAAAATCCCCAATGACCTGAGTCACTGGGGCAGAGCTCTAAATAAAATAATACCTACTCACACATTCTATAAACCGAGGTGCTGACGGTCAAGGTTGTTTCTCCTTGCTTCCTCTCCCCCTGCAGTAACTATTCTGTGCTCCTTCCCTCTCTCACAGAACGGAGGCTTTCCAGTGAGGGACACTGGGGACCTGAAGGCCCCCAGCTGGGAACCACCCGACCCTATGAGTGATCCCACCAGGCCCAGCATCAGATACTAAGGGAGAAGCGGGAACTGCCTTTTCTGAGCCTTGCCCATTCAGCCTTAGGACATAGGCTTTCCTTTTACACAATGCTTCTCTAACATTAGGTTTCTGTTTGAAGCATTGTGACACTGTGGGTCCCTCTGTCCCATCACAGAGCACCCTGGGCCCTCTCTTTCTCCGTGGCTTGCTTCTAGCATGAAGCTTGTCCAGACCAAAAGCCCCATTTGACGACTGGACGCCGGTAGAAACTCACCTGCACCTGGGGTTGGATGGAGCAGGTGGCACTCTGGTGGCCGCAGGCCCCCGTGCCACCGGGTGGGCCATAGCTGTCTCTCTAGTTGGTCTGGAGTTCCGACGGAGCAGTGGCCATCCCGCGGGTCCCCCTCAGAGCTCATCCAGCCAGAGCCCATTGTGGGCTGCTAGCTGCCAAAACTGGGCTGAAAGCTAATGTGGAGTGGTCAAGCCAGGTTTGAATGTGGAAAGAAAGGAGCGGTATTTGGAGCATGAGTGTTGCAGGAAGAAGGTTGGTGTTTGTAGGTACTGTGGGGCTCTCAGGTGGTCGATTTCTCAACTTGAGTCTTTGGTGCTCACCTTGGGGATGAGGCATCAGGATTCACCACCCTGGCAAGGGTATGATGCCACTGAAGCTGGTGGTTTCCTTAGGTCCAGGGAACGCAGTGGGGCTCTTCTCCCAGGTGGCCTTGCTGAGAGACCGTGAAGCAGGTGTCCGCTCCGAGGGAGGCTGAATGAGGCAGCAGGGCTGGTTGGTTCAGGTGAACTTTCCTTTCCAGCCCTGTCCTTATTGCTGCTTGCTTAAGGTGGGAACATCCTAGAACTTTTCTTTGAGGCAGGAGAGTAAGGCCAGTCTCTGGGAGAGTCCCTTTGGCTGGAGCTGAAAGTTCGGGTTTGGTCTGTTGGTTATTGTGACCATCCGGGGTCCCAAGAGGGCCTCCTGCATCTTGCTAGCAAATCAGCTGGCCCTGCCTCGCAACCATTCTCCTATTTTATGTATTTGTAATTTATCATTTCCCCCTTTTCTTGAATGCTTTTAAACGTTATAGAAATATATAAGGAAAGGGCCACCTGGCTGGATCAGTTGGTTAAGCATCTGACTGTTGATTTTGGCGTGATCTCAGGGTCGTGGGATTGAGCCCCGCATTGGGCACTGGGTGTGGAATCTACCTGAGACTCTCCCTCGCTGTCTGCGCTTCCCCCGCACTCATGTGCACACATGTGCACGCTCTCTCGCTCTCTCTAAAAAAAAAGGAAATATTAGGGGTAGGGGTACCTGGCTGGCTCAGTCACAGGGGCACGCAACTCTTGATCTTGAGGTCATGAGTTTGAGCCCCATGTACTGTGTATAGATTACTTAAATAAAGAAAACTTTAAAAAAGGGAAGGAAGTGTTAGTTTTCTTAGAATCACCTCTCCTCCCTGGATAACTGTGCTTAAGAGTTGAGATCAACAGATTCTAAGAAACTCAGTCATATATGAAAACAAGAAAGGCTACTGGTGTAAACTTTAAGTCCACAAAAATCTCCAAACTTTATTTTAGTAAGTAGTCAACCTCTGTTCACACTTTCTCCCTAGGTTCTCTTTTTTGGGTGTTACAGGCTACCGAGGCATGAGGTGGCCGAGTACACAAGAGGTAGCAGGGTAGTAACACCAGAGGAGTCCCTCCATCGAGTTTCTTTAGCACCTGCTGGTCACACACATTTCCTGCATCAGGCTCATAACAAATTTGCAGGGCAGGCCGGGAGCCCGGTCTAATACCTGAGTGGAATGAGGTCTGGAGAAGGAACTTGCCCGGGATTCTGATGCTCATAAGGGGCAGACCTGGACTTGCACCATGATTCTGGCTGTTGCTCTTTCCAATTCTCCGGGCCTTTTCCATCCCCGTGATGTTTGTCTTGAAAGCACAATAGATAACCCATGCTCTCAAGTCAGTCTTGTGGGCCAGGCCTCCTTAAAACCACGTGTTCATGGAACAAATATCTGCTGAGTGACGGTGATGAGCTGGACGGTGATGAGCTTTTCTTCCAGTCACCAGGAACCGGCAGTGAACAGAACCCACCAAGCCCCTAACCCTGGGGCTGGCACTCTGGAAGAGAAGACGGTCACCAGACCACAGTGGATTGGGTGTACACTCAGCTGTCCCCCCATGTCCTTTAACAGCCAGCCTGAGTTCTTGATCCACGGAGTTGCCGTCGTGCCTCCTGACCGTGCATTTACATTTTTAGCCTCTGTCTGACTGTATTGCATGAGCAGGGGTTGGAAGCAGGGGTCCCCCCAGTGTCCCCCAAAACCTAACATTTTGATGTAGACAGTGACTCGATGACATTTTCTGTAGCCACAAAATGGTCGTGGGGTGAGGGGTGCCTTCACAAGGTCATGTTGCAGGTACAGCCGAGGGGAGGGGAAGTGAAAGCAGAATGCAGAACCAGTGAGGCTCCCGGGCTTTGAAAGACCCTCCTTCTTCCTGCCATGCCACACACACCACTGAACACGGGGCACTCCGAAAGCAGGGCCTGCCTCCGTCCCAGGGGTAAAATCGTGGCATAGAGTCGTGTGTGCTACATGTTCTTTCAGGCCATTGTTTGGCTTCTAGGGCCGTCCTCCTGACCAATGACCTCCTAGCGGAGACTCTTGTGGTTTGTGTCCCCACTGTGAAAGGAGTCCTCAGTCCCACCAGGAGAGGTCAAGCCCTGTGCCGTGTCCGGAGGCAGGACAATCGCAGTACCTTGGGGCCGGGACACTCCTCCTCCAGGAAAGAAGCATGTAACTGCTTCTGAAAACCATATGCCATCAAATTTCCCAAAAGATCTGCGCCCAACGAGGCCTGTCCCCTTCTGCTGTCACTGTTCTAACACTCCAAAGAAAGCACAAAAAAAAAAAAAAGAAAGAAATCCGTGGATAATTCAAGTACCTGCTTTTTTTAGCTTTTTCCTCCTGCATGTCTTTCCACAGAGCTGCCAAAAAAGCAGAGAGCTTGCCAACTCTCCAGTAAAGGGGCTAATGTGTAGCGATTTGGGCAGTGGGAAAGAAAACCATATAATTGGGTGTATTTAGTAGCAAATAAATGGTTAAGAAGCATTGATTTCACTCATCTTGCTTAAGAAGCAATGCAGGCTCATGGGAAACAAACAGCACACCCTTCATGGTGACTCTCCGTCCTGTTCCAGCCAGACCCAGGCTGCCACCCAGCCTGGGCACAAGCCTTTCCCGGGCAGGGGCATTGGAAGATGGACAGTGTGTTTCTTTCTTTTCTCTCTCTCTCTCTCTCTCTCTCTCTCTCTCTCTCTCTCTCTCTCTCAAGGTTTTATTTATTTATTAGAGCACAAGCCAGGGAAGAGGGAGAGGGAGAAGCAGACTTCCCACTGAGCAGGGAGTCCGATGTGGGACTCAGTCCCAGGACCCTGGGATCATGACCTGAGCCGAAGGCAGGTGCTCAACCAACTGAGCCACCCAGGTGCCCGTGGACAGCGTTTTTCATGCCCACCAAGAAACCAGGCTGATCATTTCTGAGCTACAGGATCTCTGATTCTTACGAAGCGATGATCTCTGGTCCTGTAATCTTCAGTCATTGATTGTCATCGGGAATGAAGTATTTTTCAGGCTAAGGTGAGGTGGGATCTCAGGGATTTTAAAAATAGGTGAATAAGTCATGGGGCACCTGGGTGGCTCAGTAGGTTGAGCATCCGAGACTCTTGACCTCAGCTCAGGTCTTGATCTCAGGATTGTGAGGTCAAGCCCTATGGTGGGCTCCACACTGAGTGTAGAACCTACTTAAAAAAGAATAATAATAAAATAAAACTAGAAGAGTAAGTCAGAAACACTGCAGTTGCCCGGGGTTGGAGGAGTAGCAGACACCCAGTGGGTCAGAGCCTTTGTTGAGGCTAGTGTTGTCCACGAAGGAGGCAACTAGGACACTCCTGACTTTGTCCCAAAGCCCAGCTCCCATTCTGCGAGCCTTGGGAAGGACCCAAGGCCCTCAGTGAGAGATGGGGATGCGCGCTTCCCAGATGGTTACAGCAGGTACCCCTGACTGTGCTTTAATCATCGGGGTGGGTGGAAACAGAAGGTGTCCAGGAACAGCCACTCCGCGGCGTCTGAGCACACCGGCCAGGACTGTGCAGAAAGGCGCAAGGACCACCGGACGAAGCCAGGAGGGCCAGGAAGGGCCTTCACCTCCCTGGGGCCCCAGTCTCCCTGCCGGAAAGCCAGGATTCCGGCTAAGAGATCTTCGGCGCAGTCAGTAGTCAGACTTTTTTTTGTTTTCTTTTTCTTTATTCAAACTTGCTTCACTGATGGCCTCATCCTGACACACACACCCCGCCCCCCAACAATGGAGGAGGCCCCAGGAAACTCCACTCTGTAAGCAGGTGATTTCTAAGGCTCCTTCTGCTCTTAGATTCTGAAATTCTTCAACCTGGCCAGTCCCAGTCTTCTCTTAGATTCCAGTGGAGCTTCTCTACAGAGCTGCTGCTGGCCCGGGTCTTCTGTTCCTCAGACCAGGCATCATTATTCTTTTTATTTTTTTTTATGGTGAAAAAAATTTATATTTAGATTTATAGCCGGCTGGACTCAGTTTAGATGATCCCAATTTTGTTGGCAACATCCAAAGCATCATAGCCAGGAGCCAGTCGAACATATGCTTTCTCCTCTCCATCAGGCCTGATCAAGGTGTTGACCTTGGCCACATCAGTGTCACAGAGCTTCTTCACAGCCTGTTTGATCTGGTGCTTATTGGCCTTGACATCCGCAATGAACACAAGTGTGTTGTTGTCTTCTATTTTCTTCATGGCTGACTCCGTAGTCAGGGGGAACTTGATGGCATAGTGATCAAGCTTGTTTCTCCTGGGGGCGCCCTTTCGAGGATATTTGGGCTGCAGGGTCTTGGGTCTTCGGAATGTAGGTGACGTGCAGATCTTTTTTTTGTGACTGTGCACGCCTTTCAGCACCGCTTTCTTAGCTTTCAAAGCCTTTGCTTTGGCTTCGGCTTTGGGAGGGGCAGGGCCTTCCTTCTTGGTGAAAGGGAGGCATCATTATTCTTAAGAAGTTTTGCAAAAAAAAAAAAAAAAACAAAAACAAAAAAAAAAAGAAGTTTTGCTAAGACTTAAAAGGCTCCACTTGCCTGCCTTGTTTGTTTGTTTACTTGTTTATTTTGGAGGGGACGAGTGGAGTGCTGAGCACGGGCCTCTCAAATCTGTGCCTGAAGCCAGTGCAAAATCCTGGTGTGAGATCAGGGTGGGGGCCACTCTTTCGGTGGGCTCCCTGAGGGGACATGGGTAGTTCTGAGCACACCAACTCTTCTCCAGTGACCTCTGCTACGGATGAGCCATGGTGGGGTCCCCCCCTCCAGGAGAGTTCAGGTATCAAGGTTTAGGGACATCCCAGCCCCCAATGCAGGTGATAAATGGTAGCACATGGCTGGACCGCTGCCTCTCCTCTGAGTCACTCCCTTGGGGAGAAGAGTGAATGTCGTGACGTGAGGACCGTGACGTGAGGACCGCAGGCCCAGTGCAACCCCACATAGTCCCACTGTGAATAGAATTCCAAAGGCAGGGCAGGCAGTGCCCCTCCTCGTTTTCCACAAGGCTCATCCCTCCCCCAGAGCACACCTGCAGCAGCATCAGGTGAGAGGCAGCTCCGGGACTGGGGACTCGGTGGCCCTGCAGGGTCCTGCAGCTCAGGACGTCTCTGAGTTTGAGTTGAGCTCCTATCTCCTGGGCCGTCACGGCTTTAATTTTTAAAAGAGGTGATTGGAGGTCAGGTGGCGTCCACCCTTTGTCCCGGGGGGTTTTCCTGCTCTTGGATTTCTACCTCCTGGGCCTGGAGTGCGAGGCTGTTCCAAACATTCTGTGGTCTAAATATACCTGGTCTCCATGGAGCCAGTGGGGCGGCTGCCGCTGCCTGGGGAGCAGAGGAGAGCCAGTTCCTCCGCCTGATGGGTCCCGGCTCCCCGGGCTCAGCAGGGAGGGAGCGGGTCCAGCAGGGAGCCCCGCGGGCCAGGCGGCGACAGGCAGTTCTCTGTGCCCGTCCTGCCTTGCGGACCTCCCTCTCGCTATTGTTGGCGCAGGGATGATTTATCCTGCTCCGTAAATGCAGGGACGTGTCGGGTCCCGTCCCCCCCTCCCCCAGTACAGCCTGTGAGCAGGCGACAGATCCCAGATGTCCCCGCTGTTTGCCGGGCAGCATCACCGCGCCCTTGGTGTTGACCCCCCGGGAAGAGAGAAGGAAGGGCCTCTGTGACTGTCTTATTTTCCTTTGGCCCTTTATAATCTTTCATGGCCACCTTTAAGTTAACCTGTTAGGGACCAATTCTGGAAGGATTTCTTGGTACCAACCACAGAACTAGAAACTGCTCCTTGGTTATGTGTCAGTAAGGGGAAGAGAAGACAAAGAGGGCCAGCGGCTCCTTGGAGCCGAGAGTGGGCCCAACCTTAATTAAAATGTCCTGAGTCAGGCTTTTCTTGGCCTGCCGGAGTGTGCCACCCACATTTCCCAGCAGTCACGGGGTCTGACGCGGCCTCGTGATGGCCAGTCCTCCCAGGGTGCTCGGCCTGCCTGCCTGCGTCCTGCTGGCTTTGAGAGGGTGGGTGGGCTGGGCCAGCACTCCCCGGCGCTGGGGCCTGAGTGCACCCCAAGAGTCAGGAGCAGCTTAGCCCATCGATCGGGGTGTGGTCTGGGAATATGCCTGACTTAGAGGACTTGAGGGAGACTGTGGCTTTTTAAAAAATTGCTTTAAATCTTAATCCCTGGGGGTGGGGGTGAATGGGTGATGGGCACTGAGGGGGACACTTGACGGGATGAGCACTGGGTGTTATTCTGTATGTTGGTAAACTGAACACCAATAAAAATTAATTTATCAAAAAAAAATCTTAATCCCTCTCTTTATTGTCAGCTGACCTTGCTTATTTTTATTTTTTTTTAATTTAAGTTTTAGTTAGCATACACTGCAATATTGGTTTCAGGAATAGAATTCAGTGACTCACCACTTACAACACCCAGTGCTCATCACAAGTGCCCTCCCCAGTGCCCTTCAACCATCTCGCCCCTCCCCCACCCACCTGCCTCCGTCAAACCTCAATTTGTTCTCTATCGTTAAGGACCTTGCTTGTTTTAAAATTTCCTTCTGATGGGAACACTTCATCCTGCCCTGTTAGAGCACACCAGCCCACCTGTGTCCACGCCGCCTGGGGCAATGGGTGCCACCCTGTATTTCCTGTTCAAGGACTTGACTCCTTTACTCCACTCCCATTTTCTTGCCACTCTTGACAAAACTGGTCAAAGGAGTTTTCTGTATTGCTGTCTCCTCTCCTCTGTCCCTCTCTCATTTCTCATCCTCTTCCCCTCTCTCTTTCTTCCAACCAAAAGTAGACAGGTGTGCTGAAGTCTCTTGTAAAACTCTTACATCGGGGACTGTTTTGTGTCAACTGTACCCCTTTGTTATTTTTGTTTTTTTAAAGATTTTATTTATTTAATCATGAGAGAGAGGGGGGGAGAGAGAGAGAGAGAGGCAGAGACACAGGCAGAGGGAGAAGCAGGCTCCATGCAGGGAGCCGGATGCAGGACTCAATCCCAGGTCTCCAGGATCACTCCTGGGCCAAAGGCAGATGCTCAACTGCTGAGGCATTTGCTCAGCATCCCCCTTTGTTATTTTTGAAGCAGATCCCAGACATCCGTACATTTTCCCATAAACATTGCTCAAAGATGAGGATTCTTTTCTCATGTAACCTAATACCAACTATCACACCTTAAAATTTTTTAAAAAATTTTTTTACTTTAGAGAGACAGCAAGAGAGCATGCACATGCAAGCAGTGGAAGGAGCCCATGAGGAGGAAGAGGGAAGGGGAAAGAATCCCGAGCAGAATGTGCCCTGAATGCAGGGCTCGATGTCATGACCCTGAGACCATGACCCCAGCCAAAACTGAGAGTCAGACGCTCAACCTACTGAGCCACCCAGGTGCCCCACTCACATTGCCTTTATCGGGGTTCCCAGCACTTACATTTCTGTGGGAATATAATCCTGATGAAGGGATCATTCCTGGGATGCCTGGCTGGATCAGTTGGAGGAGCATGCAACTCTTGATCTTGGGGTTGTGAGTTCGAGACCCATGCTGGGTGTGGAGATTACTTAAGACTAAAAACAAACAAACAAAAAAACTTAAGACTAAAAAAATATATCTTTAAATTAAAAAGGGGGGGGGTTATTCCCTCCCTTTGGAAACTTTCTTCACTTGGCTTCTGGAGCACACACTGTCCAGATTTTCTACCTGCCTCTTTGGCTGTGTCTTCTCAGTCCAAAGCAGTGATCCTCAGCCCAGGCTAGGCATCAGATTTACCTGGTGAGTGCTTTTAAGAATGCTGGTCCCTGGGCTCCACTTCAGAGTTTCTGCTTTAATCGATCTGGGAAGGTGCCTGGGCATTATTATTTTCCTTCCGTTCCCAGGTGGTTCTGTTGTGCATATTGAGTGAGGACCCCTGGCCTCACATTGGAGTGCCCTGGCTCAGTACTCAGTGCTTCCTGCACTCACAGGGTGACCTCATCCAATTCCTCAGCTTTAAATACCTCTCCCTGAGCTCCAGACCCATTTATACAACCGTCTGCTTGACATCTCCACTTAGATATCTGGTAGGGATTTTGAATTTACCATGTGCAGGACAGAATTTCACCTGGCACCCCCATTCAGTTGCTCAGACCAGAAACCTTAGAATCATCCCGGCACCTTCCTCGTTCTCATATCCCACATCTAATCCATAAATAAATCCCCGGGGGCACCACCATCACAATAGATCTTGAACCTAACCTTTCCCACTTCCACCACTACAGCCAGCTCTAAGCTTCCACTATCCATCCACACCAGTGATACAGCCTCCCAACCAGTCTCCCTGCCTCTACCATGGCTTCCCACAGTCTGTGTATACACGGCACAGAAGCTGTAGCAGCCTCGTAATGTATGTTTTGGGAGTATGATAATTCCCTGTTCTCAACTTCCCAATAACGTGCTGTCAAACTGGTAATGAACTATGAAGCCCTTATTATGGCCTATATGACATGTGTGATGTGGCCCTTGGCTGCCTTCTGACCTCATATCACTCACATCATCACTTCCTGAGTTCCAGTCATACTCATCTCCTTACTGTTGCCCCTGCCTCAGGACCTTTGCACCTACTGTCCCTCTAACAAGAATACTCTTCCCTAGATATCTCAACAGTCATTTCCTCAGCAAGATCTTCTCAGATTGAGAACAGATTCCCTGTATCCTACATTTTCTTTTTTTACATAACATTTTTACTCTTGAACATGGTATAATGTATATGCATAGTTATCTCCATTTGCCACTGGAATATAAGTTTTACAAGGGCAAGGACTCCTGTATAAGATTAGTACCTGATATACACACAGTAGTTGTTCAGTAAATATTTCTTGAAATAACAAATATTGAATCTCCCCTCTGACCACTGCTGAACTGAGGTTTGGGCAAGAGACACCTCTCAACCCAACCTGTCACAGGTTAGGTATGCACTCCTTGCTGCCTCTACTCAAAGCTTCAAAGCTCTAGACCAAAAGTCAGCAAACTTTTTTTTTGTAGAGGGCTAGATAATATTTTAGGTTCCGTGGGCCATACAGTTTCTCTTGCATTTACCCACTGCTGCTATCATAGTATAAAAGGAACCGAAGGGGAGGCCAGGCTGGCTCAGTTGGAAGAGTCTTTGACTCTTGATCTCTCAGATACATGAGTTCAAGCCCTATGTTGGATGTAGAGACTCCTTAAAATAATAATAATAATAATAATAAAAAGATAGCTGTAGATAATACAAAAACACTTGGACATAGCTGCATTCCAATAAAACTTTATTTATAAAAATAGGAAAAATAGGAGGCTGACCCCCCTGGCCATGGTTTGCTGGCCCCTGCTCTGAAATTGTCCACCTTTTCCCCAAATCCACATAGAAAGAAATACCCAAAACTACTTGGCAATCTATCAGCAGGATGAATTTCTTCCCAGAGTGGGAAAATCTGGAGCAACTGCGGCTTGTGTTACCCAAACAGTATACTTCCTCACTACTGGGAAGATGCCAGTGTGGGGCAAAAGGATGGTGAGAGTAAGAGGCAAGCTTTCTTCTTTAAAAAAAAGCCGCACTGGCATTTTTCCTTGTCCATCTTCCAAGAAGAGGTGCTGCAGGAGACACTGAGCTCATTTCTACCCCATGATGGAAAAAGTTTAGTTCTGTGGCTTGAAAAAAGAGGGACTGCACTTCCCTTTCTTGGGTTCTCCTACAGCATGTTAGATAGAGCATAATATCTCATATACATTATTCATTCAAAGATCTTGAGCCCAGATGGAAAGACCTGGATTAAGAGTTTGGCTCTGCCACTTACTAGCTCTGTGACCTACTTTATGTAGTTGCTGTGGTGATTAAATTAAACAGTGTTTGTAAAATGTGTCCTTGTCACTTTGATAAAGACAGTGTAAATATTATCTGAACCTTATAGCAGCCCGTAGGGAGGATACCATTACTAAACCCATTTCAGAGATGCAGACGCTGAGGTTAGAGAGTGAAATGGTGCAGTCACTCGTCCAATGGCACACAGTGAGTGAGCAGCAGAGCCCACATTCAAATCCAAGTTGTCTGACTCCAGAATGCCTACTCTTATCCACCCTGCGACTTCCTGGTACCTGTAATAAGCACTCAATAAAGGATGGTGCTAAACCTAGCTCCAGCAGCAGGTGTCGGATGTAACTGAAGAGTCACTGGGAATACAGGTTGGTAACTGTGCTTCCAGGCTGAGTGATGTACATTATCCTCATTCCCTAAATTCTGTTGCCCCAGAGCCCTTGTCTATGTGATGTGTGCTTCCCCCCCACTACCCAGGCCTTTCAGAGCCTGCTGACCTCACTGGCGCGGTGAGTGGCTACTGGCTGTGGCCTCTCCTCAGTGAAAGGAGACACTGTTTACACTGGAGAGTTGCTGACCCAGCTCTCCAAGTATGAGCTCAAGCTGTGGACACGACTCCTAAGGTTCTCCTGTCATTGGTTCATAGGCATTCCCTTTCTTCTTCCTCTTCCTCAAGAACCATTCTGAGCTGCAGCATTGATACCAGAACACCTTGTCCCTTGAGATCATGGAAAATCTTGATTAAGTTGCTGTAAAAAGAGCGGTTAAAGAGTAGGCTTTGGAAACTCCCTGC